AAGAAGAAGAAGAAGAAGAAGAAGTAGTAGGAGTAGTAGTAGGGAAGAGAGGCAGAGAGAGAGGGAAGAAGAAGAAGAAGAAGAAGAAGAAGAAGGAGGAGGAGGAGGAGGAGGAGGAGGAGGAGGAGGAGGAGGAGGGAAGAGAGGCAGAGAGAGAGGGAGAGAGAATCCCAAGCAGGCTCCATGCTCAGCACGGAACTTGATATGGGGTTTGATCCCATGACTGTGAGATCATGACCTGAGGTGAAATCAAGAGTTGGATACTTAACCGACTGAGCCACCCGGGTGCCTCTCTTTCTAACATTCTAACACATTTTCTCATGGTGTCCTAGGGCTTGTCTTATCCTTCATTTTCCCCTGTGGCTCCTTGTGGGCAGAGCTTGTCTCATTTGTCTTTGTATTGGTGCTGAATACTTACTGGCTTTCGTACAGTAAGTGTTCAAGGAATGTGTTTGAAATGAAATGAAAGAAAAAGAATTGTGCTTTGTGAGTTGACTTGTGTGTAATTTCTTGAAACAGAGTGTGTGACAGTGGGGATGACCACTAGGCAGGTGGACATGCATGCCGGGTGACTGATGGGTGTGTGACAGTGGTGTCAGTGACTGCAGCAGAGAGTGAGGGAGATTGGCTGTATGGGGAGAGAGGACTGTATGCAGACCCCCGCACTGGCTGTGCCGGGAGGACACAGGCAGTCTTGACAGACTGTGCTGCGTCTCCTCTGTCAATGCCCCTGAAAAGTTGCTGCCCTTCGTAATCACCCACAAGTGAGCATTCTCGTCACAGATTGGCCTCTTCCCTGCCTGCCTTGGGTAGCCTGGAGACCGATTTCATGTGCTAAGTTGTGGCAATGGGACCCACACCCATTTTCCTCAGATGTTTCACAGGGACAGGAGTATTTACTGAAAGCTGTGTATCATTTTGCCCTGGTCTATCCCTCCCCTAGGGCCTTGTGGAATGTGGTTTGAGGGCTATGGAAAGACCCCATGGCAGATGGCCACTGTTAGTGCATTGTTCCTTTTAGGCAGGCTTCCATCCCTTTAAGTGATTGGTATTAGTCAGTCACTCCTCTATGTGACTTCATTATCAGATTCAAGAGTTTCTGGGAAAGGGGAGGGTTAGCTGGGGCAGGTGTGGGCCGGGCCTGGGGCAGGAGAGAGCATGCTGGCCTCTGGGAGGCTGGAACCTGGCTCTAGTCCTGCTCTGTGCTGACTCCCGGTGTGGGCTGAGATGGAGATCTGCCCCTATCTGGTTCCTCCTGACTGCTTCACAGGCAGAGATATAGCTTAGGGGAGGAGGTGGAGCGGCCAGAGGTTATCTTCCTCCCAGCTCATCCCCTCTGGGGAGCATCTGAGGCCAGTGTCTTGCTCCTTTGCGTGCCTTGTTTGTGCCCTGGCCCTGGAGTTACTCTCTCTGTCTTTGGGTTGAGGCCAGAGACTGCCAGGGTGAGGTTGGGACTAGAGGTCCCCAGTGAGATGGATGGTGGGCCCTAAGTTATTCTCTGCCCTCCTGGCTCCGGGCCATGTTGCTGGTTTTTCCCTGGGTATACTTTAAAAGGCCAATTTCGGGGCGCCTGGGTGGCGCAGTCGGTTAAGCGTCCGACTTCAGCCAGGTCACGATCTCGCGGTCCGTGAGTTCGAGCCCCGCGTCGGGCTCTGGGCTGGTGGCTCGGAGCCTGGAGCCTGTTTCCGATTCTGTGTCTCCCTCTCTCTCTGCCCCTCCCCCGTTCATGCTCTGTCTCTCTCTGTCCCAAAAATAAATAAAAACATTGAAAAAAAAATTAAAAAAAAAAATAAAAGGCCAATTTCATGTTATGTATATTCTACCACAATTTTTTTTTTTTTTTTTTTTT